CGATAATAACAAAAAATATTTTATGTCATTCGGCCGTTTAGTGACGATTTTGACTTTTTCGATATTCGCTTTAAAGTTTGTGACGCGAATGTTCGAAAACGAGCGTAAATTTCCGGCCTCGGCTTTGCCTCGGACGTTAAAATTACGCATGTTTCGTCGCTGTCAGAGAACCGCTACTTCACGGCTTTATGAGATGAATATCTATTTTGCACTCTTAGGGTACATTTGTTGGTCAATTTTATAGATTGAAAACAGTATTGACGAGTCTTTTTGCGATAAATTTCAATTCAACAATAAAACAAAACCGCTAGTGGTCACTATAGTGATGTGCAAAAAAAAAACAAGCATTCTGACCCGTGCAAAAAAAATTCTGATTCAAAATGAATTTAAGATTGAAACTCATATTTTGACATAAATATGAATTAGTTTTGAGATCAATCAAAATTTGAAATTGATTTGTAGATAGAAATTGTGTAGAAATTAGCACACCTGTAAAACTTTCGATCCTGCTTCAGAATCTCAATAAAAACTTACGAATATTTAGGATGAATTTTACACGGGAAGAAAATTGAAGGAGTTTTTACTCTTTTACTATTGTAATTTTTACTAAATAAAATAGTAACGGTGGACTTTACTTCTCATTTAGTAATTTTTACGATCTACTATTTTATATTTTATCCAACAAATAAGACTAGCAAGAGTTTTAAAAAGTCGTATACTATAGAGCAAATTATACAATATGTGTTAGTGAATTTTACAATTCAACTGTTGTAAAAATTCACAGTTGGTTTTTTTTAAAAGAAATATTAGGGAGGAAGAGAGATAGAAGGTTGGGCTAATTGGTACCTGTACAGTAATCGAAAAAAGAAACAAATCTTTTCGTGCTATCTGGGAATCGAACCCAGAACTCTGTGTTGGCAGCCAGAGACTCTCCCTCTAGGCTATCCGAGGTAAACTAAGACCCATGTTCTTTAACATTTATATAAACTCAGAGTCTAGCGCTGTGCACGGCCATCACTCACACTAATTGAGAGACATTCCAATTCAACTATTGTAAAATTTGCTATAGTTCTATTGGAAAGATACAGAGGCAGCACTGGAAATTTTCATCTCTTACTTTTTACAATAGTAATATCGTATTTTTTCATTAATAAATAGTATTTTTTCTTCTAAAATATTTGATAATTAATAGTAATAAAGGTATAGTCCAGCTTTACAATAGTATCGTAAATTTTCCCAGAAATTTTTTCCCGTGTATTTTACCGCTATATTCGAGCTCAATAATATAACTGTTCTACATTTCCAACACTCAGAACTCAAAAATCTACGAGTTATTGCAACATCTGGAGATCTCAATCGAATCAACCGATTTTGATGCAGTTTATGGCATTTAATGCAATTTGTTTACAACAAAAATATGACACTACTTTTAAAACGACCTGATGCTAAATTTCGGACCTAAATAAAAAAAAACTCTTTTTTCTAATTTTTTCGAGAACAATGTCTCTTGAACGAACTCACTGTTTATGATCCGTTTTACGACATTAATCGCGGTTTTTTAAGCACAAAATGATTACTCATCCCCAGCAATATGATCTGACCAGAATTCCGTAGTTATTCCAAGAATACATGTTTTTCAAAAGTCTTTGACAACTATCTGTGTCGATCGAATTAACCAATTTTAATGAGTTTTGGAAAATCCGAAATTAATTTTTGAGGTTGAGAGCCGATTTGATTTTAAAATCGATCGGTACTCTAGTTCAAATGTTATCCCAAAAAACATTTTGATTTAAATTTTACTTTCGAGGTATTTAAAATCTACGTTACTGAAGTAATTCAAATTCAAATTCATCACACACACACACACACACACACACACACACACACACACACACACACACACACACACACACACACACACACACACACACACACACACACACACACACACACATGCTCATACATGATGAGCTCTCGTAATCCTCAAAACGAGATCTGATGAGAACTTGATTTTCAAAACCCGGGTAGATCCAGTATCTACCTAATTTGTTAAACTCATAGATTTTCACTGTAAGAAGTTAAAAATCATTATTCTTTGTTACAGCATACTATATACAGGTCTTTTTACGAGATAAATGCAAACGAAATTTTGAGTGTTTTCTAGAAAAATAATGAAAGTAAATATTTTTACACGTTCTATTATTTGTTACTTACCCGAGAAAAACGAGATGTAATTTCTTGTCGTCGTGATATCACATTATTATCATCAGCATATATAAGATTTCTTATTAATCCTTTAAATCTCGGTTCAAATATAACACTAGGTAATGCAAGTAATGTCAGCTTGCTATTATACCAACTAGGCATTCCACCAATATATACATCTGAGTTACTCGATAATTTGCCGAACTGAAATTCTTTCCCTCGTGATGTAGAAAATCCACTATCACTATCAACACTAAGTGTTGTATTTTCATGATCTCTTAGAACTTGTACTTTATGCCATTGTCCATCGCCGCAATCATGTCCAACAGTTACTATTTGGGCACCACCTCCAAGATTATAACGAAGTCTTACTGCACCTTCAACTAATTTAATTTCGAAAAAGTCATATGTTCCACCATCATCAGTATACAGTAAGAGGCCACTTCTTTGGTTTGTTTTAAATTCAAATTCTAAACTAGTATTCACTGCAGCATTCCATTTAGAAAATTGTGCATAACTAGACGATGTTCCTTCTAATAAGAAACACCAAGCTCTCACAATCAGTATCATCAACAAGAACAACCAAGAATAATGCATATTTATACGCATGACGTTTTGAAATTTCAATTTTCTTCGTAATGTAGAAACATAAATTTATCGGAGTAACATGTTCTGTTTAAAGAACATTTAACGTTCGGAAATATTTATTCCAGATGCAGAATTTTACTTGAAAATCTTCATTATCAAATTTCTCTTGTTGAAAGTATAATTTCATTTATTTATAATTTCTTTCTAACAGTTACAAATTTAATATAAGCTCTTGAAAAACTAATAAATTTAAGGACGAACCAAGTGAAATTACAATCATAGATATAATCAAAATTCATTATAATAATTATGACTGTTACAGAAACCTAATACAATAAAAAACAAGAGCAGTTAGTTTCATTATTCAATCTTTTGTTAACTTATCACCAACAAATAGTTCGTAAATAATGTAAATAACTCCGATCGTAGAGTGCCATGACATTCGAAGTCAATAAATATTGATTATAAATATAACGAAAGAAGTTTTATCTCGTTTAATGTCATTTTAATTGAGTAAGCTGTGATAATTAAACATGAACGAATTAAAATAAATAACGGATGACACATTTTTTCAAGAATGTTTAATTTTTGACAGTTTTTATTTTTAATTTTTTTTACCCTTAAGGGAAAAGAACTGAAATTTAATCTTGACTCTTAATGATATTTTGCCCGAACGAATGAGATATCGGACTTCACAACTTATTCCCGAAATGTCACTACAATTGCACAGTAATAATGAACTTTAGTAAAGCTTATAAATTATAAACATGATTGAAACTTCTAAGTATAAAAAACGTTCTCGATTTGAACTTTATAGTCAGTCTTAAGGATGTTACTGACAAAAGCGTGCATAGACACTAAAAACGACAAAAATATTAGTTGTAGCGCCGGCGCTAGAACCTTTGATAGTTACGCATGCGTTATTATCATATCAATATGCCTTGGTATGAATCAAGTAATTCGAGAAACTTAATATTCTGAAACTAAAAAAACCTTTACATCCAACAATATGATCTGTTTGAGCGAATTGTCACTATTCAAATAATTTTTTTTTATGTTGATTTATTGAAAACAATCAATTTACTTTCAATTTATTAACGTTAGATAAATTTCAAGTAAATATTACGAAATAAAAAACAATATAGGTACAAATTTCTTTAAACTAAATTTAAATTATATTTATTCATGCTTCATTATATCCGATATTATATGGAACCTTGCTTGCCACAATACCTAATTCTGGAAATCTTTTTTTTTAAATAGCTAAATTTTTGTCATGTTTATACATGGATCGATAAAATCTTTTCGATAAATAATTAGAGCTAAATCTTTGACAGCTCATAAATTATTAATTTTCAATGATTATTAAAGATAACAGTATGGTAAGTTTCAATAGTTCTTTACTCTTGTTAGATTTTATATAAGTAACGAAGTATAAAAGTAATATTCTTTGTTTTCAGGTGTAGTTTAATTGTAAAGATATGGCGAAAAATGTTTTCTATTTCACGGTATTTTTTAGGAAGATTTATTTATAAATTTAGTTGTCGTAGCCGCTCTCATGACGGAATTTAAAAGAAATTTTTTTTATAATATGTTGTAGTTTGTCAATTTATGCCGAAAAATAGTATTGGCTCAAAAGTTTAAATATAATATAATAAAAACTCAAAAGTTTATATCCGTAAAAAGGATTCCCCCCCCTGAAGGGAAAAAAAAAAAAAAAAAGACACACACACACACACACGAATAAAACATAAAACATAAAACATAAAACATAAAATATAAAACATAAAACATAAAACATAAAAAATAAAAAATAAAACATAAAACATAAAACATAAAACAGGACTTCCGTTTCCAGTGCCGTAGTGTATAGTCGCGTATTTACGCTGTGATTTATTAAAATTTTAGATCTCTGATAATTGGGAGTGTTAGTGGACGGTTTTAGGGTTTAAGTAAAGCTAAAAAAGAGGGGTTGATTTGGTGATATAAGGTTGAAAGGGTGTGGGTGGTAGTGTGTAGTATAGGGGAGATAAAGTGAGGGAGGTAGCTGGGAAGAGGTTGGGTTTCTTGTGAGTGAGGGATTTAGGAGTGTGGAGAGGTGTGGGGTAGGGAGAGCGTCGGTGGCGCGGTGGTGAAAGTTAGAAGTAGAATTGTGTTGGTAAGTCGAAGGGAGAGCGGTAGATAAGGCAGGTACTGGGATAAGAAATATGCCGGATGGTAAGGAAGGGAATAAGGCGGGAAACTTGAACTGGTTTCAAACGAACTTTAGGCTAGAAAGAACAGCGAGTACGGGTGACTTGGAGAAACCGGGGGCAGGGGGCAAAAGAATTAGGGAAAAAGAGGAAGAGAGCAGTCTAAGGAAGGATGAGGAAGACAAGGAGGTACTCAAGAGAAGTAAGCTGCAGATTAGGGATCAAGAGAAGAAGGACAATCTGAATCAGGCCGAAATGGATGCGCTGATGAAAAAGTTAGGGGAGTTAGATAAAAGGATCGTGCAGGAGTGCAAGAAGGTTAGTGATGAAGTTGGGCAATTGAGCGAGGAAGCTAGAAAAGAAAGAGAGGAATTTATGAAGAAATGGGAGGAAGAAAAGTTGGAGATGAGCGGTAGGATTGAGAAGCTAGAGAAAAGGTTGGAAATTTTGGAGCAGGATAACAGGGGAAACCCCTTTGGGGAAAAAGTGGAGATTGATAGTGTGTTGGATAAAGAAACTGAAAGAAGACTAAATAAGCTGGAAGCAGGGGCGGAAAGAAAGGAGAGAGAAGCAAGAAGAAGGAATGTAATTATAAAAGGGATTAATATGAATGAAGGAACAGACTGGAAAAGGGAGGTAGACAGGGTGTGGGCTAAATTGGACGTAGTTGGGGGTAGAAAAAGTACAAGAAGGATTGATAGAGTGGATAAAGAAGGGAAAGGGATGGTCTTAGTGGAAATGGAAGGGTTTGAAAAGAAAAGAGAGGTTATGTTGGCAAAGAACAAGCTAAAGAGGGAGATAATTAGGTTGGAAGATGACCTGACCTTTGAGGAGAGAAGGATTAGAAGGATTATTATTGAGGAGGCTATAAAGGAAAGGGCAACCGGCAAGTCGGTGAAAGTAGGTTACATGAAAATATGGGTGAATGGAAAGCTGAGAATTTGGGATGAAGCCGAAGGAAGGTGGAAACTGCAGGAGGGAAACGAATGAGGGTGGAGGATGGCAACAGGGGTAAGGGGGGAGGAAAATTAAGGGAAAAGTACAAAGGGAGGGAGGTTTCGACGTTTCAGATAGGTTTCTGGAATGTAGCTGGGATCAAGAATAAGGATTAAGATTTCTGGGTGGGATTAAAAATTTGGGATATCGTAGTCCTCCTGGAGACGTGGGCAAATAATAAGAAATGGGCAAAGGTAAAGGACTCCTGGAAAAAGGGGTTCACGTGGGACATACAGGAGGCGATAACGTCCAAGGGAAGGCGGAGGGCAAAAGGTGGTATTCTAGTGGGAGTAAAAGAGGGAATTGAACTCGGAAAAAGGGGTAAGTGGGATTGTTACGTCCAGGGACGCCACAAATTTATTCGACTGCTTGTTTGTACTGTCAGACAACTAAATGCCTTTACCCTGGGAGTGGCAGTCACACTTGTTGACAGATCTCTTTGATTTGGAACTTATTGATTAATTAACACTAAAGGGATGACCATCAGAACCGGTTGGAAAGAGGAAAAGAGGAGAAAATTAAATATTAAAGAAAGAAATTAACGATACACTTACGGTTTAAATTTACTAACAGGTGTTTTATTAAATATTGATACACACTGGATGTTGTTACAGAACACGTCTCTATTGGGTCGTTACGGTTAGAATTGATCGATGAACTATTGCTTCAAGTTGAATTTTAAGTTGACCTTGAAATTGTTGGCACAGCTAACTCGACGTTGATGAAGGTGTTGAACGTGGAGGGTTCTCTGGAGTTGAATATGTGAATCACTAAGTTGATTGTCAACCTCAATGCTTGGATTGATCAGCGATGGAGTTCGATTTGATATGAACACCGTTCTTTTTATTTGGATTTTTCGAAATCGATGTTTGATTTCAATGGAGTTTTGTGAACATAACTAGATTGGATTTTTACTGTAAACCGCACTACTCGACGAAAGTTTCCCCGTATGGTAGAAAAACTTTGGAAGTACTGACTTAATCTGAACTAAATTGAAGAGAGGTTTCTCGAATTTATTAAAATAATTATACTGGTTGAAGAGAAATTCCTCGTTTATTAGTTATTCAGAAATACTCCTGACTGGTGACTGTACTGACCGACAGAGGTTCCCCGTTAATTAAAATTGTTTTGAAGATACTGCTCTGCTTACCCCGAAGAGCTTGCATTTTTATACTATTGTGAAGGGATGAGCTTGGCGGTGGTGCTATCCCCGATTTCCATACCTTTGGACTGGAGTGGTGGTTCCATCCCTCAATTTCTAAGAATTTTGCAGTTGTGCCGGTCCTCGTATGTGAGCGACCTTTAACTCTATTGAGTATTCTCACTTGAACTGACAAATATTGATTAGTCATCCCCTGATGACCACCAGTGGTTTTTTTCTGAGAAGTGGAGCTTTCAATTAGCGCAGTGGGACATCTCATCAGGGGTAGTAACCATCCCCTGATGCCCCTTTAAAGTGTCTATTCTTCGTTTTTATATAATCCTGGTCCTGCGCCTGATAATACCTGGCGGCAGGGCTTGCCCTTAAGATGGACTCGCTCCCCTAGCTTTCTGTTCTCCTAATCCTGTCTGTTGTTTCTCGGTCGTGCGTGTACCACTTCGGCTTGTGTCTATTTCTCCATCGGCGCTCCTTAATCAATACCAAGTCTTCTTCTGCTTTTTGGAATGCTGATCCTTTTCGATCCATTTCTTGTAGTAGGAGTATTTGATTATTTATTAAATTGACCAAAATTTCTAACCGTAACAGGGATGCAGAGGGATGGGTGGAAAGAGAGGTTAAGCTGGGAGATGAATGGTGGTGGATTATAGGGGTTTATGTTAATGATGATTTAGAAAGAAAGAAGGAGCTTATGAGCAGATGGATGGATGAGGTCGGAGATATCCAAATTTTGATAGGCGGCGATTTCAATGCAAGGACGGGGAATGATGGGGGGGTTAAAGGGCATAGGAGAGCAAATGGACATAGAGTTGAGAAATTCGAAAGATAAGATTATTAACAAGGAGGGTAGAGTTCTATGCAAGTTTGTGAGAGAAAGAGGCTGGGCAATTCTGAATGGATGCGTGGTGGGGGACGAGGAAGGGACTTGGACATTCATCGGGGACGGGGCTGTTCGGTAATTGATTTAGTATTGATTGATGAAAGAGACAGGGACAAGATTAAGGGGTTAAAAATAGAAGAAAGAACCGACTCTGATCATCTCCTAGTTGTGGTGGAGGTAGAGACATGGGGGAAAAGGATAAAAGATGCGGGGAGAAAGTCAGTAAAGGTACCCGGAAGAGGCGTATGGTCGGATGCAGGAATAAAAAAGTTTTAACAGGAGTTTGGGGAAGGAGAAACTTCAAGAAATGTGGCAGAGGAAATTTGGGGAGATCTTAAGGGAAGAATTAAAAGTGCGCTAACGGAGTCGAAAAAGGGAGTTGGAAAAAGAGGAGGAAGTACAGGGTGGTGGGATAGTGAATGTAGAGAGGAGAAGAAAAAGTTAAGGAGAGCCTTAAACAATTTTACGTGCGGTAAAGGAGAAAAGAAAGAGTATGTGAGGGAAAAAAAGAAGTACGGGAAAATGTGTAAGGTAAAAAAGGAGGCAGAAAAGCGAAAGTGGGAGGAATATATAAGTACGGCGAAGTCGGAAGCTCAAATTTGAAAAGTGGTTAATCAAGGAAGGAAAAAGAGGGAGAATACAAATAAAGAGATAAAGATAGAGGAGTGGGATGAGCACTTCAGGAAAATGCTTGGGGGAGTGGAGGAAAAGAGAGTGGTTCTGCCCGAAGATAGTGAGTCAATCGATACGGACTTAGAAGAACATATTTCGTACGAAGAAATCGAAGAAGTGGTGGATAAGCTAAAAGATTTTAAGGCTTTAGGAGAAGATGGAATCCCGAATGAAGTATGGAAGTACGGAGGGGAAAGTGTGCTGAGGGAACTATGGAGGATTTGTCAAAGAATATGGAATGGAGAGAGTTGGCCGGACGAGTGGAGAAGTGGAGTGATTGTGCCGATTAAGAAAAAAGGTGATGGTTCGAAGGTGGAGGACTACAGGGGGATTTCAATTATGCAGACGGCATATAAAGTCTACGTAGGAATACTGGAGAAGAGATTGAAGGTGGAGGTGGAGAGTAAAGGACTGCTTCCAGATTAGCAGGCTGGCTTTAGAGAAAGGAGGGGGACCATAGATAATATTTACGCTTTGAATTATCTGATCAATCGGGAAGTAGATAAAGATAAAGGGAAAATGTTGGTGCTGTTCGTAGACTTTAAATCTGCGTTCGATACGGTGGACAGAAGTGAATTAAGTGTGGCTATGAGGAAGAGAGGAGTGAGCGAGGGTCTAGTGACAAGATGTGAGGTAGTTCTGAGTGAAACGTGTGAACGTGTGAGGATTGGCAAGGAGCTAGGAGAGAGGTTCTGGACGGAAAAAGGAGTAAGACAGGGGTGTCCATTAAGCCCCCTGCTCTTTGTACTGTTTTGAGCGGATCTAGATGAAGAACTGGAAAGGGGAAGATGGGGCGGAGTAGAGTTATTCGGGGGAAAGAAAGTGCTCTCTCTAGCTTACGCGGATGATATAGCGCTGTTGGCTAAAAACGAGGATGAAATGAAGGGGATGATATGGACACTAAAGAGATTCGTGGCGAGAAAGAAGTTAGAGGTGAACGTGGGGAAGACTAAGATCATGAGATGCAGGAAAGGAGGGGGCAGGAAGAGAAAGGTGCGATGGAACTGGGACGGAGAAGAAATAGAAGAAGTTGATATGTATACGTACCTAGGATATGTAATAAGGTGGAACGGAGATCAAGGAGAACATGTGAGAGAGAGGGCAGCGAAGGGAGCGAGGTTATTGGGATAGATCTGGGGGCTAGGTAAATGGAAATTTGGGAGTGATTGGGCTAGAAGGATATGGCTATTTGATAGGTTGGTTTGGTCAGTGATGAGCTATGGAGTGGAGATTTGGGGATGGAAAGGTAGAGAGGAAATGGAAAGAATTCAGGAAAGATACCTAAGGTGGGTGCTCGGGGTCTCAAGAAGGGTGGGGGGTTACTTGGTGAGAGAGGAACTTCAGAGAGACCGGCTAGAAAGTAGAGCAGGACTGAGGGCTTGGAGCTATGAGAAAAGAATAGAGGAGGGAGGAGGTGGGTTAATTGCGTGGAGATGCAGGATGGAAATGAGAAAGAGAATAAGGGCAGGAAGAGGTTTGGTCGGCTGGAAAGCGGAAAGGGGAGGCTTTTACGAGGATAGAGGGCAGAACCTTATTGAAGTTGAAAGGATGTGGGAAGAGGGAGAGATGAGAGAAGAAGAGTGGGTAAAAATGGACAAAAGGAAGCAAGAAAAGGAGAGATGGGAAAAAAACTGGGGGTCAAGAAGCAACAGTAATTATAAATTCGTAACAGGTCCAGGGATTCCGGCTTACATTAAAAAAGGCTGGAGTGAGGAGAGGTGGAGCAGGTATGCTAGGTTTAGACTAGGTGACTGTTTAAAAGGGAATAGGTATTGGGAAGATAGGGATAACAAACTTTGTAATGTTTGCGGGTTGGAGTTGAAGTCATGCGAGCACGTATGGGAGGTTTGTTCAGGACTAGGGGTGGAAAAAGGATGGCAGGAGATAAGGGTTGAGGTACTAGGGGAGGATGGGCAAGGGAAAAATTGGCTAAAGAGTATAGAAATGCTTTGGGGAACAGCGGGTTGGAAAAAGTAAGAAGGGAGGGTAACGTAGATTCAATGGCTGCGGAAGCGGAAGTCTCTGGGTGTGTGTAAGATGGATGGAGGAGAGAGTGAGATGAGTGAGGCGATGTTTTTTTTTTTTCTTTACACCAAGGTGGTTTCTTTTTTTCTTGCCAACTAGGATAAGGATAAGGATGTGTAAGGAAATATTATAGTGTGGTTGAATGGAAACCCTGTATGTATAGATAATAGATTGTGCCAAATAAATCGACTATTTTTTTTTTCGGTCTTATATTAAAATTTCGTTGAGAGTGACGAAAAAAAAATTGTGTCAAAATTTGAGCCCTCTATCTTCATTTTTAAGTTAGCGCTCGCAAAAATGAGAATTTTCCCAAAAAAAAGTTTTTTTTCACTTATTTTTTGGTTATAGACAGTTTATTATACCAAATATAAAAAAAACCCTTGGTATGGTTTTGTAGGAAATTAAATTCTCTACAAAGATGATTTTTTATCGATCTTAAAAAATCAATAGCTTTTTTTTATAGCTGATTAAATTACAATTCGTTCTATAATTTTTATTTTTAATTATTGATGAACACTTATGAAACTACTTCCTAACGAAAAGAACATACTAATGCAATTTTTTTAGGAATATTTATGATCTAAAAAAATAGTTTTTATGTTTTAATTGATTGTAGTACGGTACTATAGAAGTTAAAAATAATTTTATCACCAAATAAAATGAAGACAAAAAGATTAATTTTTTATTTATAAGTCTCATTGACTTGAAAATTATTCATGCTCTAAAATTAATAAAATGTATATTTTTCTGTCATTTTCATTCGTCAACTAATTCTTCTATAGCCTTCGTAACTCGAAACGGCAGATTTAAAAACCCCGCCAGTGTGCAACTACAAACATGATTTAATAGATGTCGTTAACATATACGTCACAGCTGGTTAGATAAAGTTGGCTACATTGACAGCTGACTAGTATTTATTTTAAAATTTGAGACTATATTGATATCTTCGGAGATTAATTGTTAATCGTTTTGTAGATATTTATTAGCTGTGTCGGAAAATAGTTTAAACAGTGTTTATCTTTTGGGTGCCGTTCATAATAATTTGCCATCACGCAAGCTGCCTAAAAATGGCGACGTTTTGAATTATTTTATGTTTAAGTATAAGATCTTAAAGAAGACAGTTCGTGAATGTGCTGCAGAGATTATAGATGAAGTTCAAGAAATTTGGAGTGATATGAATACACCATTGATAAAACATCAACATGCAATTAAAAAAATGGAAATGCTATTTACAGAATGGAGAAATTTAGATAAAAGTCGACTTAAAAAACATTCGGAGTTTCATCTGTTGAAAATAAAAAAATTTACTGATAAACTAAATGAATTATTTGATGTGAGATTAAAAAAAAGGCCATTTGGCACCAGCCAAGATGGAAGGTAGATTTCATGTAATCCATCATTTTAATTACGATATTATGAATAATTATTATTCCTCAAGTTTATCAGAAAAGTAAATCGGCTGCCAAATTTTAAAATACAGTGATTTATTAGATTTTCGAAAATTTCAAATGGCTGCCATTTCTAAACTATTTGAGGGATTTAGCTCATTTTTGAACTCATCCAAGCTAATTGTATATAGAATAAGACTACCAAATTTCATAAAGATTCATTAAGAATTCTAGGAGTAATCGTGTCCACAAGTCGCGTAGTGTTGTGTGCTTGTCTGAAACTGATTCAAATGACATTCAGCTTCTTAAACTTTTAGAGTAATTGATGAAAAGTAAATTTGTTATAAGTTAAATTAAAGAGAATTTCATAAGCTATGAAACAAAATGCAGAAAAACGATCCATCATTTCTCAATAAAAAGTTATTCCCTAGTAAAGTCACCAAACATGTGATTTATTAGATTTTCGAAAATTTCTGGCTGCCATTTCTAAATTATTTGAGGGATTTAGCTCATTTTTGAACTCATCCAAGCTAATTGTATATAGAATAGTCTACCAAATTTCATAAAGATTCATTAAGAATTGTGGGAGTAATCGTGTCCACAAGTCGCATTGTGTTGTGTGCTTGTCTGAAACTGATTCAAATGACATTCAGCTTCTTAAACTTTTAGAGTAATTGATGAAAAGTAAATTTGTTATAAGTTAAATTAAAGAGAATTTCATAAGCTATGAAACAAAATGCAGAAAAACGATCCATCATTTCTCAATAAAAAGTTATTCCCTAGTAAAGTCACCAAACATGTGATTTATTAGATTTTCGAAAATTTCTGGCTGCCATTTCTAAATTATTTGAGGGATTTAGCTCATTTTTGAACTCATCCAAGCTAATTGTATATAGAATAGTCTACCAAATTTCATAAAGATTCATTAAGAATTCTGGGAGTAATCGTATCCACAAGTCGCGTTGTGTTGTGTGCTTGTCTGAAACTGATTCAGATGACATTCAGCTTCTTAAACTTTTGGAGTAATTGATGAAAAGTAAATTTGTTATAGGTTAAATCAAAGAGAATTTCATAAGCTTTAAAACGAAATGCAGAAAAACGATCTATCATTTCTCAATAAAAAGTTATTCCCTAGTAAAGTCACCAAACATGTGATTTATTAGATTTTCGAAAATTTCTGGCTGCCATTTCTAAATTATTTGAGGGATTTAGCTCATTTTTGAACTCATCCAAGCTAATTGAATATAGAATAGTCTACCAAATTTCATAAAGATTCATTAAGAATTCTGGGAGTAATCGTATCCACAAGTCGCGTTGTGTTGTGTGCTTGTCTGAAACTGATTCAGATGACATTCAGCTTCTTAAACTTTTGGAGTAATTGATGAAAAGTAAATTTGTTATAGGTTAAATTAAAGAAAATTTCATAAGCTTTGAAACGAAATGCAGAAAAACGATCTATCATTTCTCAATAAAAAGTTATTCCCTAGTAAAGTCACCAAACATGTGATTTATTAGATTTTCGAAAATTTCTGGCTGCCATTTCTAAATTATTTGAGGGATTTAGCTCATTTTTGAACTCATCCAAGCTAATTGAATATAGAATAGTCTACCAAATTTCATAAAGATTCATTAAGAATTCTGAAAGTAATCGTGTCCACAAGTCGCGTTGTGTTGTGTGCTTGTCTGAAACTGATTCAGATGACATTCAGCTTCTTAAACTTTTGGAGTAATTGATGAAAAGTAAATTTGTTATAGGTTAAATTAAAGAAAATTTCATAAGCTTTGAAACGAAATGCAGAAAAACGATCTATCATTTCTCAATAAAAAGTTATTCCCTAGTAAAGTCACCAAACATGTGATTTATTAGATTTTCGAAAATTTCTGGCTGCCATTTCTAAATTATTTGAGGGATTTAGCTCATTTTTGAACTCATCCAAGCTAATTGAATATAGAATAGTCTACCAAATTTCATAAAGATTCATTAAGAATTCTGAAAGTAATCGTGTCCACAAGTCGCGTTGTGTTGTGTGCTTGTCTGAAACTGATTCAGATGACATTCAGCTTCTTAAACTTTTGGAGTAATTGATGAAAAGTAAATTTGTTATAGGTTAAATTAAAGAGAATTTCATAAGCTTTGAAACGAAATGCAGAAAAACGATCTATCATTTCTCAATAAAAAGTTATTCCCTAGTAAAGTCACCAAACATGTGATTTATTAGATTTTCGAAAATTTCTGGCTGCCATTTCTAAATTATTTGAGGGATTTAGCTCATTTTTGAACTCATCCAAGCTAATTGAATATAGAATAGTCTACCAAATTTCATAAAGATTCATTAAGAATTCTGAAAGTAATCGTGTCCACAAGTCGCGTTGTGTTGTGTGCTTGTCTGAAACTGATTCAGATGACATTCAGCTTCTTAAACTTTTGGAGTAATTGATGAAAAGTAAATTTGTTATAGGTTAAATTAAAGAGAATTTCATAAGCTTTGAAACGAAATGCAGAAAAACGATCTATCATTTCTCAATAAAAAGTTATTCCCTAGTAAAGTCACCAAACATGTGATTTATTAGATTTTCGAAAATTTCTGGCTGCCATTTCTAAATTATTTGAGGGATTTAGCTCATTTTTGAACTCATCCAAGCTAATTGAATATAGAATAGTCTACCAAATTTCATAAAGATTCATTAAGAATTCTGAAAGTAATCGTGTCCACAAGTCGCGTTGTGTTGTGTGCTTGTCTGAAACTGATTCAGATGACATTCAGCTTCTTAAACTTTTGGAGTAATTGATGAAAAGTAAATTTGTTATAGGTTAAATTAAAGAGAATTTCATAAGCTTTGAAACGAAATGCAGAAAAACGATCTATCATTTCTCAATAAAAAGTTATTCCCTAGTAAAGTCACCAAACATGTGATTTATTAGATTTTCGAAAATTTCTGGCTGCCATTTCTAAATTATTTGAGGGATTTAGCTCATTTTTGAACTCATCCAAGCTAATTGAATATAGAATAGTCTACCAAATTTCATAAAGATTCATTAAGAATTCTGAAAGTAATCGTGTCCACAAGTCGCGTTGTGTTGTGTGCTTGTCTGAAACTGATTCAGATGACATTCAGCTTCTTAAACTTTTGGAGTAATTGATGAAAAGTAAATTTGTTATAGGTTAAATTAAAGAGAATTTCATAAGCTTTGAAACGAAATGCAGAAAAACGATCTATCATTTCTCAATAAAAAGTTATTCCCTAGTAAAGTCACCAAACATGTGATTTATTAGATTTTCGAAAATTTCTGGCTGCCATTTCTAAATTATTTGAGGGATTTAGCTCATTTTTGAACTCATCCAAGCTAATTGAATATAGAATAGTCTACCAAATTTCATAAAGATTCATTAAGAATTCTGAAAGTAATCGTGTCCACAAGTCGCGTTGTGTTGTGTGCTTGTCTGAAACTGATTCAGATGACATTCAGCTTCTTAAACTTTTGGAGTAATTGATGAAAAGTAAATTTGTTATAGGTTAAATTAAAGAGAATTTCATAAGCTTTGAAACGAAATGCAGAAAAACGATCTATCATTTCTCAATAAAAAGTTATTCCCTAGTAAAGTCACCAAACATGTGATTTATTAGATTTTCGAAAATTTCTGGCTGCCATTTCTAAATTATTTGAGGGATTTAGCTCATTTTTGAACTCATCCAAGCTAATTGAATATAGAATAGTCTACCAAATTTCATAAAGATTCATTAAGAATTCTGAAAGTAATCGTGTCCACAAGTCGCGTTGTGTTGTGTGCTTGTCTGAAACTGATTCAGATGACATTCAGCTTCTTAAACTTTTGGAGTAATTGATGAAAAGTAAATTTGTTATAGGTTAAATTAAAGAGAATTTCATAAGCTTTGAAACGAAATGCAGAAAAACGATCTATCATTTCTCAATAAAAAGTTATTCCCTAGTAAAGTCACCAAACATGTGATTTATTAGATTTTCGAAAATTTCTGGCTGCCATTTCTAAATTATTTGAGGGATTTAGCTCATTTTTGAACTCATCCAAGCTAATTGAATATAGAATAGTCTACCAAATTTCATAAAGATTCATTAAGAATTCTGAAAGTAATCGTGTCCACAAGTCGCGTTGTGTTGTGTGCTTGTCTGAAACTGATTCAGATGACATTCAGCTTCTTAAACTTTTGGAGTAATTGATGAAAAGTAAATTTGTTATAGGTTAAATTAAAGAGAATTTCATAAGCTTTGAAACGAAATGCAGAAAAACGATCTATCATTTCTCAATAAAAAGTTATTCCCTAGTAAAGTCACCAAACATGTGATTTATTAGATTTTCGAAAATTTCTGGCTGCCATTTCTAAATTATTTGAGGGATTTAGCTCATTTTTGAACTCATCCAAGCTAATTGAATATAGAATAGTCTACCAAATTTCATAAAGATTCATTAAGAATTCTGAAAGTAATCGTGTCCACAAGTCGCGTTGTGTTGTGTGCTTGTCTGAAACTGATTCAGATGACATTCAGCTTCTTAAACTTTTGGAGTAATTGATGAAAAGTAAATTTGTTATAGGTTAAATTAAAGAGAATTTCATAAGCTTTGAAACGAAATGCAGAAAAACGATCTATCATTTCTCAATAAAAAGTTATTCCCTAGTAAAGTCACCAAACATGTGATTTATTAGATTTTCGAAAATTTCTGGCTGCCATTTCTAAATTATTTGAGGGATTTAGCTCATTTTTGAACTCATCCAAGCTAATTGAATATAGAATAGTCTACCAAATTTCATAAAGATTCATTAAGAATTCTGAAAGTAATCGTGTCCACAAGTCGCGTTGTGTTGTGTGCTTGTCTGAAACTGATTCAGATGACATTCAGCTTCTTAAACTTTTGGAGTAATTGATGAAAAGTAAATTTGTTATAGGTTAAATTAAAGAGAATTTCATAAGCTTTGAAACGAAATGCAGAAAAACGATCTATCATTTCTCAATAAA